GGGCCGTGCAGCCTGAATATTATTCTATGATTTCACCCCCCAATGCAAATTTTATCTTATAATCATTCTAACTTATAATTATCTTTTATTGTATAAGATCCATATGATTTTTATTCATTTTAAGTTTCATTATAATTCCCTCCAGAGTCCTCCCTTTCTCTTGTACATTCTACACACCAACAACCTAATTTGATCATCACACTTGGGATTACAGTTGGAATGTTTCATTGTTTGAACAAAACGTGGTATCGATGGTGTTTAATTTGTGTTGTAACCGCCCTTTTTGCAGCTCTATTGTGGATGCACTGTGGCAATGTAATTTAAATCTACATAGCAATGCAAGCTGTTGCAGTTGTGGATAGCTCTCCAACAGCAACATTGCTGCCGCAGTAGGTGTGTGGTATGCAATTTAGAACCTCAATTCTAATATCAAAGGAGAGTGAAGAAGGGGACAAAAACCAAGATGAAGATACATACATATAACATCAATTGAAACTTGCTTTCGCATAGTATGGTTGGGTCACTACAATGGAAGTTTTTAAAGTATGGGGCAGTTTACAGGGATCAGGTGTGGCATTAGTTAATTGTGGGCACATAACTTCTCAGTGTTTATTGGTGTTACTGCTAAATTTATGGTCGATAGATAACCTTTCTTATTCTGAGGTGTAGGGTGATAGTTTTAAAATAATTGGCTGAATTATGAGAGATCAAAGTTTATTTCAATGATTTGACATTGAAGTTGGAGATGGATGGTTAGACCAAGGTGTTTTTGACAGAACATGAATTAATCAAAATCTCAACATCCATAAAGCTCAAGAAGGGAGCCTCACAGCATCAAGGAAAAGGGTTGATTTTGGATAGTATCATATGCTGATTAACCTTTCAAGAGAGATTCAGTTCATAACACCCATACTAGGGTGATTTAGATAAGTACATCTTTCAGGCCTCTCAAAGTCTACTTCCACATAGGTGACATGATCTTTTGATAGTCCTGACACTAGAGACTCAAATCCAAATATAAGGCTATATGAATAGCCCTGTTACCTAAAGTCAAAGATTGAAAAACTGGTTAGTGAGATGTTGATGGCATGCACCATTGTCTCTTTGCTAGATCTATTACTTCGGTGAGAACAAGGGTTGAGTTCTGTGTTGACTATCGAGCTTCAAACAAGAGTATGCAGCTGAATAATCTTCCAATTCCAGTGATTGAAGAATTGTTGGGTTCAACTGGAGGAGCTACAATTGTCTCCAAATTGGTCATGAAATCAAGTTTACTATCAATAAATGTGAGGTCAGACATAAAAAAACTTCATTCGGCACCCATAATGGACACCATAATTTCCTCTTGACCACGGAAGTGTTGAAGTCTCTTTTGAGAAAATATGCCCTTGTATTCTTTGATGATATTCCTACATATAGTGATACAATGGATGGACATGTGAAGCACTTAAAGTTGCTCTTGCTGATACGAATGCAACTTGATTTAAAGGTTAACCAAAAGAAGTGCATCTCTGGACTAGCTAGCTTGTAGTTCCTTGGTCATATTATCACACATAAGGTGTGACAACTGTTCCTAATGAATTAGAGGCAGCATGATTGTCACCTTTTCCAAAGGATATTAAGGAGTTAAGGGGATTTCTTGATCTTATACATCAATGAGTATGGTAAGCGGGTACTAACTTTTACTTCTTACTGTAGAAAGAATTTCCTTTGGGATTGAGAGGCATAACTAGCCTTTGAGAAATTTAAGGCTGTTATTACTACTTTTCCTTTATTGGCAGTTCTGGATTTGTTGTGGGAACTAACTCTGCAGGGGCTAGATTGGGTGCATTTTTGTTACATCAGACTATAGCATTATGGAACCAAATCTTATCTGAAAAAAGCGACATAAATCAATTTGAGTGGGAAATGATGGTTGTTGTGTTGGCTGTAAAGTAAAGACACTATCCTTTGGGTGGCATTTTATATCAGAATAGATCAGAGAAGTTTGAAGTTTCTTACTGAATATAGAGTAATGGACAAGGCTAAAATTTTAAAGTCCACTAAGTTGATTGGTTGGTTAGGATTTTGATATACAGTATAGACTGGGTAAGTATAATTCAGTTGCAGATACTCCTTATTGTGCATCTTTTGCTTCCCTTTCATTAGCACAGCGTGGAATGATTTCATTGGGAAGATGAGCTGCAGTGGATGGGGAGGGGGTTGCATTTCAGAATTTTTAGAACTTATAAAGAGTAGCAGTGCTATGTTTAGGGAAGGCAAAAGGTCATATATAATAATTTTTGTAGCATCTTGTGTAGTTTGCCAACAAAATAAATCGTGCAAAACTGTTGCAACCACTACCTAATCCATCAAAGTTTGGGTTGACACCTCTAAGGATTTTGTGGGGGTGTTACCCAAGGTCAAGGATACTGTTTTATTGTGGTGGATAGGCTAGGTAAATTTGTTGATTTATTTGCACTTGCACACCTTTTTCAGCTAACGATATTGCAAAACTGTTCATTTAAGAGAGTTCATTTGCATGATTTTCTGTCATTACCTGGGTGTATTTTCTTGCAATTACCAGTGAAAATCACATTCTTCCTCTGTTACATTCCCTGGTCCTGTTCTTTATCATTTTGGAAAAGTTTTATTGTCATTTGGACTGTTTAAGAATGTGGCAAAATCTGATTGGGTAATGTCAGTGCTATAATAGTAAATTAGAGAAACAAAATGTATCATCTTGCAGCATTAGATTCTGTATCACTACACTATTGTTTTTAACTCCCCACTCAAGAGTCCCTTTAACATTTTCAAATTTCAATAGTAAGTGACTTCAGTTTCTATATAATGTAAGTATTTTTATTGGCCAAAAGATATTGTGTTAGGGATATATAGATTTTTAACGATCCTTATTCTGAAAATGTATTTCATGCTTCTGTTTTATACCATCCATTTCCTTTTTACTTGTTTGATATTCAGGTCATTAGTTCTCAGTGTTCTAATGGGTTTAACATAAAATTTATCTAAAAACTTTTAGCTTTTTCATTGGTAAGTTTTTAGCTGTCTTGTTAATAAAATTTGTCCGCTGGGGCAAGTTTGAAAGTAAATCTCTATTGTAAGCACTATAAAAGAAATTTGTTTGTCTTCATAAAAACTTTAGCAATTCAGTTTGAGGAGTAATACGCAATTGTCTGTTATTTATGTCATTGCGATTCTCTGATCAGTTGCTTTTTTCCCTTTGTGTCAGTTATGAAGTTCTGCTCACGTTGGATAAGGAAAATCACCGAGTGGATGGTCCAATATATTATTATCTGTTCAATAGTCTTCTGTACTGCTTGCTTGTTATGCATATTTATTGGTGGGTGCTGATATTTCGGATGCTTGTTAAACAAATCGAAGCAAGAGGGAAAGTTAGTGAAGATGTTCGATCTGGTAAGTTGAAAATGTGTTGTGGGCAAAATGTAAACTGAGCAACCTTGTGAAAAATTTGTTCTCCACTAATGTTTGCATTTAACTAGAAGAGAAGAATAACTATAGGAATATATTATGATCGTAGACGTAAATTCTAGCTTTGAGTTATTATGAACAGAATCTGGAATCTAGATTAGAAATGTCATTGAGTTGACTTTTGTTAAGTTTATAGTTTTTTCTTCTAATTTCACGTGGACACTGAAGTATTATTAACTGAAAAATGAGGCTTACCAAAACTAAAGTTGACAAAAAGAATATGACTTCATATCTTTGTGATCTGATCATTTTGATGTACTTATCATAGAGTAAAACATGAATGTATTTTTGTTCAATCAATTAGAAATTGATTTACTTTTTGGTAGTGGCTTTAGTCTGTCAGTTTTTATTATATGTATTGGTTAACAGGAAATTTCTTTAACTGTTTATCTGCAAACTGCTGCACATTTTCTTTATGCAGATTCAGATGAAGACGAACATGAAGATTGAGTAGGGAAGCAAACGCATGATGTAATCTTTAGACAAAGGTGAATTTTTGAAATGACGATGGTGTTTTACACCATTACACATGAATGCATTTTTTGTGGTAAATATGTTGATTGTGTTAAACTGTCCATACTTTATTTTATTAGAAAGAGTTCGTTACGTTTGTCAGTAATTATATTATAAACTAGGATCAACTTATAAGTTTTTTCTTCTAGTTCAATGTAACAAAAGCTTAGAAGGAAACTGCACGGAAAATATGATTAAAGCCTTTGCCGCCCTGATTGCATATTATGAACTCTTTAATTATAATATATTTTTCTGACATTGTCTCATGGTACACTGGCATGTGGAAAAAGAGAGAATTTTAATTTCGTCTTTGTTATGGGTGACACAGCAATAAAAAAATGTAACACCGGTGCTGTATCTTTTAAGGGTAGGCTACGACTTACTTTCCTTCAATTAAGTGAGATGCTGTTTGGTTTTATTTCTTGCAGATGTATGATTAGCTTCAACCTTTTTCTGTGCCTTTGGCCACAATGCTAATATTTTCAAATCTTATTCAAATTTGAGAGGATTGTATCTATCTATACGGATTGGAGTACAGACTTCGGACCTGGTATAAAAAGGGCAACAGATGGAGATAATTTTTATTCTTCTAAACTTTTGGTCTATACTGCACATCCTGAAGTTTAGGTCGTACTGCCTGACATTTGCTTAAGACTTTGACTTTTCCTGATTATTTGTCCCTCTTTCAAATTACAAGTATTGTGTCCATTAATGTTTTCTGCACAGATGTTATCCTCTTGGTTTTCATTTATTGGAGAAGAAAATTATTGGTCTTAGTCGCCGCGGTTCTGAACTTGTTCTGGGTTATGTTGATTCGTGGAATTCAGCTTTAATTCACAATTAAATAAAAAGGAAAAGCTTGTTGTAAATTATTTTGCCACTTGATTCTGATAACGCTTAGATGCTTTATTTTCTCATTTATGACTGCCAGGGAAGGGGGGAAATGAGCCAAAAGATTGAATTTAATTTATCAATAAAATATTGGGTCAGGGTCTTAAAAAATCTATTGTGCCAAATCTAAATACAAAAAACTCATTCACGAAGCCTAATATGGGTAAACATCACAGGTGGTTCAAATGGTCTATGTTTTCTTTCCTTTTGGACTGTAGATCTCACAATCCGTTTTGGTTTACCTTTCTTTTTTTTGAATTCCCCCCTTCCCCACACCTTTTTCCTCTCTCTTTCTCTTTCTTCTCCATTCTTAATTCACGACTTGGTCATTTTCAAGTTTCAAATAAACTAATATTAAGGTTAATTTTTAATACAAATGGAAAGATTAAGTAGATTTATAGGCAATTTCTTAATTTAATTTAGTATCATAATTATAGTTTAGAGTATATTATAGTAAAGTTTGTTTTTTTTTAAGTTTATTGTTTTACTCCTATCGAATTACTTGTTAATGTTTAGTTTTATACTTGAGATATATATGTTTCGGTTTGAGGAGATGTTGGAACTTCTATATTAACTAGAAATAAGAAAATTTTTTAATATATATAAATTAATGCAAATCTTAAAATTGAGTTATATTAAAATTTCATCTTTTAAAATCCAACTTTTTCACCGTTAATGACTATTGAATGAATATTAGTGAACATTATTGATTTAGACTTAAATTCCATCTCTTAAAATCCAACTTTTCCACAATCAATGACTAATGACTAACGAATATTAGTAAACAATGAAAAAGGTAATGTGAGATAAAATCATCAATTTAGAAGAAAGTTTTGGCCTTGTTGTGTAAAAGAAGTAGGAGGATATGATAATGAAGAACAAATTGAGAACAGAGCAAAGACTTTGCTTAGTTATGATGGAAGCATTTTGCACTAATAACCCTCGTGACAATATAAAGTCATGTCATTCAAAGCTTTCTTTTTGCTTAGTTGTGAAAACCAGGTTGCATATGTATCCTTAGTGAGTGTCATTGTGAGCGCTTTATTCTGTGTTTGTTTAACGATGGGGCAATTTTCTTGGTTTTCCAACTTATAATGTGCTTAAAAGTTTCGTATACACAAAAAAAAAAGCATGTACAAATTCTTTCAAGAAGCTCGATATAGGTTGTTTGTTCTTTCACTAAAACATAGAAAAGAACCAAGAAAATCATTTTGAAAGAATAATGCAACAAGTTCAATCATAATTGTATTGTATGCCCATATTGCTGAGTTCACCCAAGTCGAGTTCTCTAAGGTTATACAATCGAGCTCCATAGGCTGACCTTTATCATGTTGCGCTCTACAGGTTGAGTTCCCATGATCGACCTCCTTTAGGTCGACCTCCTCCAAGCCGACCTCTATCAAGCCAAGCTCTCATGGCTGACCTCCTTCAGGTCGACCTCTATCATGCCGAGCTCGCTAGGCCGACCTCCATCATGTCAAGTTTCCCAAGTTGACTTCTATCAGTCGAGCTCTCCAAGTTGTCTCCCTCAGGCTGAGCTCCAAACCATCCTCCTAAAGCCGAGCTCTCTAGGACATCTTCTTTAGGCCGAGCTCTTCTAGGCTGACCTCCTCCACCCGAGCTACACAAAGCTCTAGGGCCGAGCTCTAATAGACTTATCACTCCAAGCATGGTCGAGTAGGGTTCTAGCATGGCTAGAACATAATGCTTAATCGATCAGAGTATGATTAAATTATCATGATAATGAAAAATTAACCTCTTAACGCATATTAAGTTACGATTGGATCATCGTTGGGTTGACAAGATAAAGACCCATCAAAACTACTATATATAAAGATCTTAGGTATGAATTTACAAAACATGCACATAATATGTATTAATTGCTAACTAAACGATCATATATTAACTTTAGTATCGAAATAATTAATATGAACTTTGGATGAGCGAAGCCGCTGACAACTCATAAATAGCTAATTTATAACACAATTTGTGCAGTATATAACAACTACGCCCAATCAAAGATACCAAAACAATAATCATATTAATTTTATATATGAAAAATTAATGTCAAATATAATAAATGTTACCGAGATCAATGTAGAAAGAATTCAAAATAGTAATGAAAATAAATTAGTTTCAATTTCAAACCTTTAATTTTATTGTACAATAAGAAATAGTAATTCTCTAGTAAAATGAGTCCTTAATTATTGTAATGCTTTCTCTTCTTTATTAATATATTAAAAGCAAAGATCGAAGGCTAAAAAGAAGTAAAATAATTGGATGTGTGCATCTCTTCTTTCTTTGTTTTCTTTCGGTACACACATAGATAAGATATTAGTATTAAAAATATTGTAATTTTAAAATATAATTATATAATAGTGGTAATGAGGTATGGTAAGTAATTAGGTAAATAATAAATTTTTTATGTGAAAAAAAAGAACAATTTCCAAACAAAAACTACTTGCATCAATTAAAATAATTATCTTTTATTATTTATTATTATTACTATCATTATTATTATTATACTATTACTATTATACATGAATTATTATTATTATTATATTATATTATATTATTGATTATTATAAAAATCTATATTTTATCTTTAATACTTAATATATATATATATATA